TAAAAAGCAGTGAGGTAAAGAAACTTCCCTAAAGGGTCACTCTTGATCCGAAACTGTGTCTGGGTTCACGTTGCAGGCGCGACCCAGTGCTCTCAACTAGCCTATGAACTTCTTTTCCGACTTCACCTGTCGGTCATGCACAGCATCAATGCAGGTCCCCAAGTCAGTGACGGAGGTCCGCAGTCCAGTCATTTCCTACTCCAGAGCAGCCATCCGAGTGCTCCGGCATGGCTATGATGATCCTGCCTTGTCCCCTCTAGGAGGGGCTGTGATCTCAGTAGCTTCAACAGCATCAGAATCATCCTCAGACTCAGACTCATCAGACGAGTCATCATTGCGTTGTACCGGCTCTCTTCCCTCTTGCCCAATTTTTCTCGCCCGGAAAGGGATTTTTATAGGTAATTTCCCATCAACTCAGGATTTCTCAGGAACCTTAGCAAGGCGGCATAGATGGGTGACAAGCGAAGGGAAGTAGTGGCCTTTGCTTAGTTTGGGCGATCGGATGAACATTTCTTCAGAGAGGACTCGGGCGACATCAAACCCTTGGTGAGTCATGAAGCAGTAGACCATCGCGGCCCGTGGCCCATTTACATCGGTAGTATTGATGGATAGTAGCAATCGAGTGGTGATGACAGTGAGCCAACATTTGGCCTCCCAAGTAAGGGATTTAGAGTGTAGAGTCGTCGGTTGTGCTACCCATATGGGCTGTCTTCCAGGTATACAAATGACCTCCAGAATTCTGTCCCAGTCAACCATCGGGCGACTAGCCCTGATGTAATGATCATCACCCGTGAATGCAGGGAGACGATACACTCTGCGGATGACCTCTATAGAAGCATTAACCGGGGTGTTACGCACAGTCACAACCTTGTCCTCGTGTTCTGGCAAGTTTGCATAGAGCTCCCTCACTAGCTGAATATTGGCTTCCTTAGGAGCCTCAAAGAAGATGTCCAGTTGACACCTCCGTAGCTCATCAAACATATTGGGGCATTTCTTAACCAATGCCTTCCTGTCGATATGGACCTCATGGAGTAACTTCTTGGCAAGTGTCTAATTGTACCTCGCCTCTGCTTCTTTAGAGATGAACCGAGATCTATCAAATCGTGGTGCACTGGACTGGGCCCTAGCTCGGGAGGAGCCTCCTAGGCCACTCGCAGAGGACCCGGTGTTTCATCTCTTATGGGCTGAACTCATAATGCCTGTCAAAACAGACAAACGCGTATTAGGAGGAGCCTAAAATGGTGACTATGGGTGGTTACTCAGACTTCACCACAACCATGTCACAACATCACCTTATATCTCCATTGAGGCAAGTTCACAAACACATTCTGGGCAAGGCATTTTTCTTCATATTCATGGCCCAAGGAATCAAGAAAACTTCCCCAATTCACTACACCCACACATTCCACACTTTTTTTTAAACCATCACCCACCAACAACACCATTCCACACAGTCAAAACATAGCCCTTTCACCAAACATATGCTAAAAACGAAATTACACTAAAAATAAGAAGAAAAACTAAACAAAACAAAATCCTATAACTAACACTACATTAGAACAACACTAACTAGCATAATACAACAAAAAATAGAAGGAAAAGAGAAGGGGGGTCGGAATCATACCTTGGGGGAAGAAGATAAGGGGTGTTGTGAAGGAGGAAGAAGAAGAAGAGAGTATGGAGGGGAGGGTTAAGGTTTAGAGAGAGAGGGAATTGGGGATTTTAGGGGGGAGGGGATCGTTTATTTTGATTTAGGGAAGGATTATGTTGTGTTTTAAAATTAAAAAAAGAGTTGAGAAAAAGAATGAAAACAAAAAAAAAATCAGCAAACCTGGTACGCCTTCCGCGGTCGACGCCGCGGTCTGAGACAGTGTCTCTCGCGGTCGTCACCACGGTCCGAGCCGTCGCCCGGCAGTGTCTCCCGTGGTCCTGGTTGCGGTCGTGGCTGGCAATTATTTTTTGTCTTCTAAACACGAAGTTACATACTACACTTACAACACATTCGTGGGTTGCCTCCCACGCAGCGCCTGATTTAGCGTCGCGGCACGACGCAAGTAGTTGAGCCTTTACTCCTCATTCGCGTAATGGGGTTCTTTCAAATTGATCACCACTGTATCCCCTTTTTCTTCAGTTATTCCAAGGTAATGTTTCAACCTTTGCCAATTTACTGAGAACTTGTTTGTTCCATCTTCTGACTCAAACTCAACAGCTACACTTGCAAATATTTGCACCACTCTAAATGGCCCTAACCATCGGGACTTTAACTTACCCGGAAACAATCTCAGCCTTGAATTATACAATAATACCTTGTCACCGGGTTTGAAATTTCTGCCCACAATATGCTTGTCATGCATCTTCTTCATTCTTTCCTTATAGAGCCTCACGCTTTCAAAGGCTTGATATCTGAATTCTTCCAGCTCATGCAACTCTGTCAGTCGATTTTGTCCAGCTGCTTCGGGATCCATGTTCAATTGTTTCAGTGCCCACCAAGCTCGATGTTCTAGCTCCACAGGCAGGTGACAGACCTTCCCAAATACCAAATTGTATGGTGACATACCTATTGGTGTTTTGAATGCAGTTCTATAGGCCCAGAGTGCGTCATCAAGCTTCTTTGCCCAATCAGTTCGTGTGGCATTCACCGCCTTGGTTAGTACACTTTTTATCTCCCTGTTGGACACTTCAACCTGCCCACTGGTTTGCGAATGGTAAGGGGTAGCCACCTTGTGGTGTACATCATACTTTGCAAGCAATTTCTCGAAGGCTCTGTTACAGAAGTGAGTGCCTCCATCACTGATGATCGCTCTTGGTATCCCAAATCGGGTGAATATGTTCTTTTTCACAAAACCTATCACCACTTTTGCATCATTAGTGGGCAACGCTGCAGCTTCCACCCATTTAGACACGTAATCCACAGCAACAAGTATGTACTTATTGCCAAATGAGCTGACGAAGGGGCCCATGAAGTCAATCCCCCAAACATCAAACACCTCTACCTCTTGAATCGGGTTCATGGTCATCTCATGGCGATGGGAAATGTTCCCGATTCGCTGACATTCATCGCAGCCCTTCACCCATAGGTGTGCATCTCTAAACACTGTTGGCCAAAAGAACCCGGCCTCTAGCACTTTCGCAACTATCCTGGCTCCTCCAAAATGTTCTCCATATGCTGATGCATGACAAACCTACATAACAGAATATTATTCTATCTTGGGGACACACCTCCGGATCATATTATCAACACAGATTCTAAACAAATAAGGCTAGTCCCAATAATACATGCGACAATCACGATAAAACATTTTCTTTTGGACAGATGAAAGGTCATAAGGAACAATACCGCAGGCCAGGTAGTTTGCAAAATCTGCATACCATGGCATATCCTCAAGACTGGCTGCAAGCAACTGCTCGTCTGGAAAGGTTTCCAGGATCTCTTCGACCTCGACTGATTTTTCAGCTCCTTCAAGTCGCGATAGGTGATCAGCGACTTGATTTTCTGTGCTCTTACGATCACGAATTTTGAGGTCAAATTCTTGCAACAGTAGCACCTAACGAATCAGGCGCGGCTTAGACTCCTTTTTCTCAATTAGGTACCTGAGAGCTACATGGTCAGTATATACAATCACCTTGGAACCAATCAGATATGATTGGAACTTGTCAAAAGCAAACACCACCGCCAACATCTCCTTCTTCGTCACTGTGTAATTGAGTTGTGCACCGCTTAGCGTTCTACTTGCGTAGTAAATTGGGTGCATCAGCATATCTTTTTATTGCCCCAAGACTACTCCTATAGCATAGTCGCTGGCATCATACATGAGCTCAAATGGCTTCTCCCAATTGGGTGCAACGATGATGGGTGCAGTTATCAACCTCTTCTTCAGTTCCTCAAATGCATACCTCAATCATTAGAAAACACAAAGGGTTGATCCTTTTCAAGGAGTTTGCATAATGGGTTAGCAATTTTGGAAAAATCTTTTATGAAATACCGGTAGAACCCAGTGTGTCCAAGAAATTTCTCACCGCCTTGACTGACGTGGGCGGTGGTAGCTTCTCAATCACGTCAACCTTAGCATGGTCGACCTCAATTCCTTTACTGGACACTCGATGCCCCAGGACTATTCCTTCTTGTACCATAAAATGGCACTTCTCCTAGTTTAGCACTAATTTTGTCTCCACACATCTTTTAAGCACTCTCCTTAAGTTGTGAAGACAGTCTTCGAATGAATCTCCCACCATAGAGAAATCATCCATAAAGACCTCCATAATATCCTCCACCATGTCTGTGAAGATGGCTAACATGCACCCTTGAAAAGTCACGGGTGCATTGTAAAGCCCAAAAGGCATTCTCCGAAAGGTAAAGATGCCATACGGACAGGTGAAAGATGTTTTCAATCTATCTTCGGGGGCTATTGATTTCTAATTGTACCCCGAATATCCATCCAAGAAACAAAAGTGTGATCGCCTAGCCAGCCTATCCAACATTTGGTCAATTAAAGGTAAGGGGAAATGGTCCTTCTGGGTGGATGTGTTCAATTTCCTGTAATCCATGCAGATACGCCACCATGTGACTGTACGAGTTGAGATCAACTCATTGTTCTCATTTTTTACAACAGTCATTCCCCCCTTTTTCGGCACACATTGGACAGGGCTAACCCAATTACTATCAGAGATGGGGAAGATGATTCTCGCATCTAGATATTTGAGCACATCTTTCTTTACAACCTCTTTCATGTTTGGGTTCAGCCTTCGCTGGTGTTCCCTGAAAGGTCTGTGCCCCTCCTCCACGAGAATCTTATGCATATAGAAGGCTGGGTTGGTACCCTTTATGTCTGCCATGGTCCAGCCAATGGCAGTCTTGTTTTCCTGCAGTACTTGTAAGAGCCGTTCTACCTTCACATCCAACAAACCGGATGATATAATAACAGGTAAGGTCGAATCAGGGCCTAAGAACACATACCTGAGGTGATCTGGGAGTGGCTTTAGTTCCAACTTGGGTGGTTCCTCTATTGATGGGTTTGCTGGAGAAGTGGCCCTTTTTCTAGCTCAAGGGACTCGAACTGAGGCTCCCTTGACCAAAATCCTCGGCCTTCCAGTGCCATGACCCATTCAGCTAACCCTTCATCATCCATTTCTTCTAAATTTGTCAGACATGCCTCCAATGGATCTTTTACAGTTAGGGTCATATCATCTTCTTGCAGGATTACATCCACTGCCTCCACTAGAGAGAAATTAGCATATTCACTAGGTCTCCTTATAGATTGTTGTACATTGAATATGACTTCTTCATCGTTCAATCTCCTTTTTAATTCCCCAGTCTCACAGTCGATCAGTGCTCTCCCAATGGCTAAAAATGGTCTCCCTAAAATAAGGGGTATCTCCTCATTCACCTGACAATCCAGGTTAACAAAGTCTGCAGGGAACACGAACTTCCCCACTTGCACCAACACATCATCAAGAATATCAGTGGGCCTCTTCACTATGCAGTCAGCCACCTATAGCAGCATCGAAGTTGGCCTAGCTCTACAAATGCCTAGTTTGGTGTACACAGTCAGTGGCATCAGATTTATGCTAGATCCCAAATCACACAACGCCTTTGCAAAGGCATAACTTCCAATTGTGCATGGAATAGTGAAGCTACCTGGGTCCGACATCTTTTGAGCCATCGGTTTTGCCACCACTGTGCTGTAGGTTTGTGTCAGAGTTACAGTGGATAGATCCTGAAAATCAGACTTCTGTGACATTATATCTTTCATCATCTTGGCAAAACCAGGCATCTCCCTCAAGGCATCCATCAAAGGAATATTCAACTGAATTTAACGTAGCATCTCCATGAACTTCTTGTATTGGTCTGCCTTCTTTTATTTGACCAGTCTCTGAGGGAAGGGTGCAGGTATCACTCTTTATGCATTGCTTGCTGGCTTCTCTCTATTAGAATTTTCTGGCACAAGAGGTGCCACCTATTCTGCAACTTGCTCATTCATCTTTTCTTTGCCTTTTTCCTCCTGACTCTGCTCAACCACCACTTCAGTAAGTTCTATTGGTTCCTCTACCTCTAATTGAACTAGAGTGGCTGGTGTAGTATCTTTGCTGGCTTGTGCAATTTCCTACTCTCTGTATAAATCTCTCACATTCCGGAGACTTACTGCCATCAGCTGATTTGGGTTTTGGTCCTTGGGGTTTATGTTTGTGTCTGCAGGCAAAGTTCCCTAAGGACGGTTGTTTCAAGCCATGGATAGCTGACCCAGATGCGTTTCAATATTCTTTATGGCTGAATCATGCACTACCAATTTTTCCTGCACTTTATTATTTGTCCCAATGAGTTGCTGAAGCATACCCCTGATTTCCACCATGTTGTTATCTTGCTGCAGATGGGGTGGTTGGTATGTCAATTGTTGCTGATTTTGCTGTGGATAACCCTGTGGTTTCTGATATGGTACTGGCACCAATTGGTTTTGAGGGTTCATACCCCCAGGCTGCTGCATATTAGGCATGTACTGCTGATTTTGCTGCGATCTCCACTGATGTGCTCCTTGCCTCTGACCCCCATAGTCATTGACATAATTCATATATTCCCTTGCCCCTTGATTTTCACCTTCTCTGCTCCATGAACACACATAAGGCTTATTAATACAAGGTGTACACAGTCCCCCATTTGTTGTATCAACAATGTGCACCTGTTTTGTACCCATCTCATCAATCTTCTTTGCCAATATGCTCATCTGGGTCATGAGTGTGGCCATGTTCTTTGCATGCAAATTATTTGGGTCAAGAGGAACTGAATGCATTATGGGTGCCAGTGTTGTACCTCTATTCATCCACCCAAAATTTTGTGACATCTTATCAAAAAGGATTTTGCACTCATTGAATGTTTTACTTAAAATGCACCTCCAGCTGAAGCATCCACATTTGCTTTCAAATTGTCAGCTGGCCCCATGTAGAAACTCTGGCCGAGTATCTGGTCTGGAATGCTATGGTGAGGACACTTCACTAACATCCCTTTAAATCTTTCCCAAGTTTCTTGAAAGGACTTAGTGGGTTGCTGCCTATACTACAATATGTCATCAATCTGTTTTGCAGTCTTGTTAGGCGAATAGAACTTGTTCAGGAACTGCTTGACTAATTCCTCCCAGGTGGTAATAGAGTTGATAGGGAGCGAATTTAGCCAAGTCTGAGCTTTCCCGGTTACCGAGAATGGAAACAGTAGCATCTTAATAGATTCCGGAGTCGCATTTGGCTGCCTTTGGGTCATACAAATTGACAGAAAATTTTTCAAGTGTTGTTGCGGGTCTTCAATGTGTGACCTGGAGAACAGTCCCTTATTCTGCAGCAGATGCAGCATGTTATTGGTGATCTGGAATGTCTCCGCTTGAATTGTGGGCACAGCTATAGCAGTGTCCAGATTATCAGCTGTGGGATGTGCCCAGTCATAGAGTGCAGCTTCGGGCACAAGAGGTGCCAACCCTCTGACATTTAAGTCAGCTGGCTCATTCCTGACATTTCCGTTGACCTTATCTACGTCACCCATGTCAAATTCGAGTTGCTGTGATTGTTGAGATTGTTGAAGTCTTTTGTTGGCACGATTCAATGCCCTAAATGTTTTCTCAGGGTCTGAGAGTCCTTCTAGCAGTTCTCCAGTCCTCGAAGAACTTCTAAGCATACACCTGCTTTCCACAAGAGTTCAAACGTTAGAATTTCAATGAAAAGATTGGGTATAAAGAAAACTGACTACACTTAGAATTTTTGTACTTCTCTCAATTGTAATTGATAACACCGTTAGTACCCCGGCAACGGCGCCAAAATTTGATAACGCCAAACTATGCCGTATACAAGGACACACACGGACGTAGCAAATATAATCGGAGTAATTCTGCCCAGAGTCGAACCACAGAGAATTAACATATCAATTACTTTTGTCGGATTTATTAAATTCACAGAATCAATTTCCCCAAACTTTGTAATTCACAATTGATGATATTTCTAACAACTAAAAACTGAAAATAATTAACAGCTGAAAATTAACTATGTTTGATGTGTAAACAGCTGGAATAAGGTCTAAGGTAATGGTTTCCCTCGTTGTTGATTTCCTTGGTTGCATGTTTCTTATAGCGATGCCTTAGTTGTCTCTATCAATCAAGAACTCTCCAGCTATCATAAATCTCTCTCAAGCAATTATGATAATTTACTAGACGCACTCTCTCAAGCTACGCTAGCTAGATTCACATTACCATTCTTTTAGATTGCACCCGAGGTATCGTTATCTCTAATCCAACCTCTAAACCCTCGGTTATGACTCTCGTCTATACTCCGGGAGTGATGTTGTTCAAACAACTACCTAAATATGGACTCTCTCTCAAGAAGATACATAATAAATAGGAACGGATAATTGAGGGCCCTTTCAACTAACCACAATTAAAACGTATATGAACAAATAGAGATTAACAACCAATTCAAACTATATTACTATCACAACCAAGTCATCCCCAACGGGTTTCACCAAAACCTTAGATTAAAGTATTTAACTACTCATGACAACGTAAGAATAAACTACGAAAATATTCATAATGGAAAATTGCCAGAAAAATAGAAGAGAATAAGAACTATGATGTTTTGGGTGATCTCTCACACTTGTCTTCTTGCAAAATTAATCTCCAAAGAATAAGCCCCAACTTCTCTTGGGCGAGTTTCCTACATCTTATAAGGGTTTTACAAAAGCTTTCCCGAATTGACACTTTGGCCCCTTAAAGTTTTGGACCGTGAACATGCCGCCGCGGCCGCGGCGTCGACCACGGCGCTGACCGCGGAGAACACTGACTCCAACCACGGCATGGACCGCGGTGGAAACCGCGGTGAGTATGCTGGGCCTTTTTGTCTCCGCGTTCCTTCTCTTTTTGCTCTTTTGTGTTTGGGTACTTCTTGAGTGGGTGTTTTCTTCATGTTATTGCCTCTAAACACTTCATGTTGCTTACTCACATCTTATATTCCCTGCGAAACCAAATAGCATTAATTAAAGCATTTTATTGGCAACTTACATTATAAAACAACAACAAAACATGGGTAATTATTGGTGTAAATAACAACTATATAGCCTATTATCAAGCATGTTAGGCTAGAATTAACTGTTTACTTGTTACGAACTTGGGATTTATTTTGATATTCTTGAGCTGCTGCTGTATGTTTTAATTTGGGACTATGGGACGGCATCCCGGGAGATCCCCTGCATGTATTTATGATCTGGACTGAGGTGCGGGATACCAAGAGATCCCTGGCATATATATTGAGGATACCAAGAGATCATCGGGATACCAAGAGATCCTTGGCATATTTATTAAGGATACCAAGAGATCCTCAGGATACCAAGAGATCCCTAGTGTACATATTGAGGATACCAAGAGATCCTCGGGATACCAAGAGATCCCCGATTATTATCCTTGTTGTGAGCAGTGTTTTCCTTGTGTTATGCCTTTATTTCTGTTTTCGTTATTGTATTCTTATCATACTGTATAGATTCTTACTGTAGATTCTCATTTATACTGTTTATCTTATCCTGTCATGTGTATTATTATTTACCTCAATAGGGCCCTGACCTTCCTCGTCACTACCCGACCGAGGTTAGGCTTGGCACTTACTGAGTACCGCTATGGTATACTCATGCCCTTTTTGCGCATGTTTTTCATGTGGAGATCCAGGTACCTCTACCCAGGCTTATCACCCTTAAGGCAGGGAGATCTTTCGGAGACTTCGAGGTACATCTGCCGCGTCCACAGACCAAGGAGTCTCTATCTTTATTATATCCTGTAGTGTTAGCCTTTCTATCTTACTATTGATGTAGACATTCTGGAGATTAGAGCACTTTACTGTATTTCTTCTAGCTTGTGTTCCCGTGAGTTTCCGGGTTTTAGGATAGTATTTTAGAATTTTGAGATGTCGTGTTGTATATGCCGGGCGGCATTCTATATACTGTTTTCCTTTCAGTTATTCTTGTCTTTTGAGTTATATTTCTGCAAGTCTTCCATTTATTTTCCGCACTTGTTAGGCTTACCTAGTCGTCGAGACTAGGTGCCGTCACGATAGTTCACGGAGGGCGAACGGGGGTCGTGACACATTCACAGACCAGAGCTTCTTCCTTTATCTTATCTTCCTCTGTTTTGGATTTGTATTAGACTAGTAGACCTTTCTTGTATCATCCGGATTGTAGATGTTCATGACTAGTGACACCCCGGTATCGGGCTATGTTGGGTTGTATTCCGCAAATTGTTCTGCATTGTCACTGCTTACTTTGGTATTTCTATCATGTTTAAGACTAAATGCTTATCTCTTAAATTGCTTAAAAACGAATTGGAAAAGTGTCGGATGGCCTTGTCTTCACAAGAGGCGCCATCACGACTGGGTCCGGGTTTGGGGTCATGACAAGTTGGTATCAGAGCCTAGGTTACATAGGTCTCACGAGTCATGAGCAGGTTTAGTAGAGTCTCGCGGATTGGTACGGAGACGTCTATATTTATCCTCGAGAGGCTGCAAAACATTTAGGAAAAACTTCATATTCTTGAAATTCTTGTCGTGCGAATTTGTTGATCTGAGTTCTAAACTTATGTTATTCTATTCTCTCATAGATAGTGAGGACACGCGCTACCAGTCAGGATAGACGACCACCAGTACCACCAGCTGTGGCCACTAGAGGCCGAGGACTCGGTCGTGGTCGCGGTAGGGGCAAAGGTGTGGCCCACACATCAGCTAGGGCAGCACCTGCAGATCCACCAACTGCCCCAGTTTAGGATCAGGTCCCATTTGTGGA